ACCCCACACACACAGGGGATAAATATCCCGTGCTACTCCAAGGAGCAGTTTAAAACCACTATGAATGCTTTAAATTTGCTTCCTAAGTAACAGACTGCTTTTTCTTGCCCATTTAAAACATTTTAAAAGTAATAAACCCTGTAAAAAAATATATTTATACCCAGCCATCCTCAAACCACACACACAGAGTGGCACAGAAAACTTCACCCACAATCCTAATACCTTTCAATGAGGAGATATGAAAGTGTCCCCTTTCAGCCATCCATTCTCTTTAAAAATGTGGCAACACTGGGCCCTGATGCAGCATGACCATGTGACTATTATGGGTGAATTGTAAAACCAGAGCTCCTGACCGTAGGGGTAAGTTGACTTCTCCATAGTTATCCTCTGAAAGGGATCATTGTGCCTGTTAACCCTTTGACAAGAGTTTACTCTTTCTTTCACTCCTCTCTCTCCTCCCATGCAGTTGCCTCACCTTTCTATTCACTTGTGCCCATTCCCCTGTCCCAGTGTCTTTCCTGAGTAAAAAAGCCATATATACAACCACTAAAATATCCTTAGCCCTCCCCAGGCTGTAAAACTGGGATCCTTCCAAGCAGGTGGAGAATCTCCTCTCCTTTAGGCCTTGCTGAGCTCCCTCTCTGCTGTCTCCTGCTTTCCTCCCTTGGCTGCCTCTGTACCTGTTCTGCATCACCTCTCTTGCTGAGTGCCAATCCGCCGGCTGCTACACTTCCTGAGGTCTGGCAGTGAAGGAAGGCAAGGCATGTTCAGTTTGCAGTCCAGAGCAGGAGAGGGTTCTTAGAAAGTGAGGCAGGCCTGCTCAGGCCAGGACTGGCTCCTTTCAGGAGTTTTGAAGTGGCCTGGTCCCTCACTAGCCAATTTAGAACCCTGGACATTGACCAGTACTTATGGCATAAACATCCTTAGGATTAGCCAGTTTCCTAAGGGGTAACGTATTATCACAGAAAAGATTTAATGTTGTTGTGAGCTGATGAATTTAGTTGTTACAGTTCTAGCACTACTGTTGGTATGCATGGCACAGACATATTAGAAGGTTCCATTTCCTGCCCAAAAGAACTGAGACCCAGATCCCCAAAGGTGTTTAGGCACCAATTAATGGGAATTAGACGCCTCAATACCTTTGTGTTCTGTGCCTTACAACCTAACAGTCCAACCCTGCACACACTTACCTACACCATTAATTTCCACTTGGGCTGTTCAATGGCATCAAAAAGTTACCTCTGTGTGTGTGGTTAGGATTGGGCCCTAAACAGGCAAGGGACCAGTAAATGGGTGCAACATAAAGCAAAGAAATTGAGAGTTTTGTATGTGTTTTAGTTTGGCTTTTTAGACCATCTTTTTTTTTAATTTATTTTGTTTTCCCTAAGAGGTAACATATTTGTGAGAATTCTGTAAGGACAGTGTGCATTATATGAATATGGCTGAGTTTTAAAAGCAACTTAGTATGTTAGGCTGTGGTGAGGATACTCTCTCATACCAAGTAAATAATGAAGCCCCCAACATCTCTGTCAGGTTTTTCCTCTCTTTCCAGCCGTATTTAAGGACTACAATTATAGCATGTCTGAAACTTGACAGAGACAATCCATGCATTGTTCTACATTGGAATACATAGAAACTAGCTGTTTTTAATGTTTTAAAATGATTCTGTTAAGGCTGAGGAAATTCTAACTACTATGATTGTTTTTTGCACTATATACTGTACCATAATATTCAGTGCATCACTAGTTTATTAAGTAATATTAACAATCACATACATTTTGTGCTTTCAGCAGATTTTGGTGCTAAGAAAATATTTAGGTTTAAAATCACTCCAGAATCTAAATTCACTATCCATTTACCAGGCATATGTTAGACCTCTAGGAATGGTTGTACATATTTAAGTAATTGTATAATTAGCAATAAATTACTTGCAGGGGTGACTCATATTTTACTTAGGATAAGTGAAAAATATATGGCTTGGGGGGGCGGGGTTGAGTGCAGAGGAGATTGTGCTATAATGCATGTTAGCATTTTAAGTTTTAATTTTTTAGTAAAATGTTCTTTGAAGCAGTATTTTTCCTTCTTGTGGAGGGAAAAAACAATGCAGAAGGCAAAGATTTCTGGGACACCATTAGGTCCTGTGCAGTGCATTGCCTTCACATCCTACTCTTGACTGCATTAATAGCAGCCTTTCAGAAGAGACGAGATGAATAAACCTTCAAACAAATTCACACCCACTGGGACTCTTATTCCTGCACAGAGTCCCACTGACGTCAGGAGCAGATTTACCATAAAACAAACTGTGCGGTGACACTGGGCCCCCAATGACAGGGGGGGACCCAAAATGCAGGACAAATATCTGACAACCTGCCCCTGAGTCATGGTCAGCGGCGTAGCAGGGCTCAGGTAGGCAGGCTGCCTTCATGCCATGGCTGGTGGCCCCACATCGCTCCCAAAAACAGCCGGCTGCTGGCACGTCTCTATGCACCCCTGGTGTGGGGGAGGAGGCTCCGCACGCTGCCCCCACACCGGGCAGCACAGGGAGACCTGTTGTCCCCCTCCCCCCAAGGGGCATGCAGAGACGTGCCAGCAGCAGGGCTAAGGCGGCTACCTGTCCACTCTGCCTCCCTCCCTCCGTGCCACACTGCGGCCCCTGGAGGGGGGGTGTCTCTGCGCACTGTCCCCGCCCTGAGCACCGACTCTGCAACTCCCATTGGCTGGGAACTGAGGCCAGCGACTGCGGGCAGTGGTGCACGGAGACCCCCCTGTCCCCCTCCCCTGCCTAGGAGCCTCTGCCGGGGGGGGGGGGGTGCCAGTCACTTTGGGAGCTGTGCCGCCTGAGTTAAGCGCCACCCCATTTCCCCACCACCACATCTCAACCCCCTGCCCCAGCTCAGAGCCTGCACCCAGCACCCAAACTCCCTCCCAGAACCCGCACCCCTCCCGCTCCCAACCCCCCTGCCTCAGCCCAGAGCCCACACTTAGCACCCAAACTCCGTCCCAGAGCCCAACTCCTGCACCCCCCCCCCTGCATCCCAAGCCCCTGCCCCAATCAGGGTACCTCACTTTATTTTCATTTACATCCCATAACTTATAAAATAGGAGGAGGATAAAGAAAAAAAGAATGTTCTTTTTCTTGGCTGGGTCCCGAGGGGGAGGCCCTGAAAATGAAGCTATGCATAGGGCCCCACTAACTCTAAATCTGCCACTGGCTGAAGTCAATGAGCATGTGGATCTATTCTCAGGATTGGGCATTAGACTGAAGCTCTGTGGATCTGTCTTGTCCAAGCCAAGCAGATTCTTGGCAAGATAGCCAGTGAAAAGGATTGTATGAGAATTGAAGAGTCCTATGGCAGTGTGCCTGGCTCCTGAACCATGCTGTCTTTGATCTGTCCACACACACGTATACACCAAGCAAGTGCACATTCTTCCCACTTGTCCAGGGAGCTAATGCCATTGTCAGAGTTAATGTCTCCCTGGATATCATTAACCTCCAGGGGTTTGTTCCACAATGTAGAACTCATGGGAAGCACGTATCACGGAGTAGCTGCCCCTCTTCTATACCCATGCCCTCTAGAGGCCCAAAATCATAGTGTTGGTGCAGCGTGTCTTCCACTAGCTCATGCTGCTTCAGATCTGCTCCCTTCACTTCCCTGCTTTCTCGGCCTTTCCCACTCCTTTGATTCCCTCTGCATCCGGGCCTCATGAGTCTTAATACGACTTACTCAGTTGAATAAACTTTATTGAGCCTCTTGACCAAGCAAGCCTATAATTTTGGATTGGAGCATTGTTTAAAATAGGTTATCAGATACAACACCAGGGATATAGAGTGAACTTTCTATAGTTTTATTGCTGCTCCCAGAAGGACATCAGAGCAAATTACAAAAGGTTTATGCAATACCAGGATATACTGTATCATCTGTTACCAGGACTTTTATCATCTCAGTGCCTTATTGTTTCCTTATACACACCTCAACAAATGAAATCTTTACAATCTTTCTATTGAAATTAGTCAGGTTTTTGAATGAAGACAGACAATATGATTGAGAATATAAACAATGATTTAAAATGCACAATTATGCCATTTGTTCTCTCTACAAAACATACAAAAACCATATCAGAACTGATTATAATTTGTTTTTCTATATGGAGTGTGAACAGGATACTAAAGATGAGAGGAAGATCTCACTTGTGGAAAAAATATATTTTGTGTGTGTGTGTGTGTCATGTTTATTACATTGATTTCTATGTCTTTGTCTGTGTATGATTACCTTTTCCAGTTTATTTGTTTGGATGTAACTTTCAACTTTAATGTTTTCAATTGTGAATTTAAATCCTTGAATATTGTATTACTTAAGTATTCCTGTTCCTTTATTCAATTTGTTTGAGATTGCTTTAAATATGTTCCAGGAACTGATATTTGTGCATTTGTTTTTGGATTCCATTTGCCAAGGAAACCAGTAAAATTGTAATTAAAAAAAAATCAGAATTCAGAGTTTAGCTCTGCAGATGTGGATTTTTTTAAACAAATCTGAAAGTAATAAGGATGTTGTCAAGGTATTTTTCAGAATTTGCTATTTGTTTATTTTTAACTAGCTCTATATGCTGATAGCCACCTTGGAAGCACATTAATGCTATTGATTTATTAATGGCTAGGGCTGGTATTTTCAAAAGAGCCTGAAAGGGGCTGAGTGGGAGTTAGGCACCCAACTCCTCCCTTAGGCTCATTTGAAAATCCTAGCCCAAATGATCTACTGCGTCATTCCAATTTTACACTGACATGTAACTCCATGGAGTCACACCAGTGTGAAACTGGAGTAATACGAATGTTATTCTGGCCCATACATTTCGCTCTCTGGCATCAGTGTGCATACTGAGAATTTAAACAAACATATTTAAATACAAGTCAGTTAACTTCTTACGGAGGCAGAAGAAAACATCATTCCCTGCAAACGACCAGTTCACTGCTCACTCACTCAACATCTTCTAGTCTTCGTTTTGCCCCTCTTTCTTACCCCCTAGCCAAACAACTGGGAGAAAAGATGATCCTTCCACTGTACCCGGTGAGGGCCAGAGATACTATGCTCTATCTGACCAGCCTGGGAAATGAATTCGAGTCAAGGGCCTACTCACGCTGAGGTAGTCTGGTCACTGGCCCACCTCTTGTTCAGTGCAAAGGACAGTTATCTTAAGTGCTCCCAGAGGATCTCAGTCATGTAGCAGATCACAAGGACATCTTAAAGCAATTTCCCTAAATATTTCCCCCTCTATTTGTGTATTTGAATTTTGTTGCTTGTTGTTGCTTTGCTAGCTAAGGTGGCTGGCATTTTGTTACTTTCTGATTTGAATGCACAAGAAAGTGAAAATGCCAAGTTATTAAACCTTTGAAAATGAGACTGGAGAGCAGAACAGGGATATATGAACCAATTGTCTTAGTGAGACACTCTCAACACTGTTGACTTAGTAAGGCCATCCTAGCACATGTGCATAGGAAACTATTGTCTTAGTACAGCTGTTATTAATATCTGAGCTTAAGTCATGCAAACAAATAGAGGTTATATTGCTCCCTTGCATACTGTCTCTCGTAAACATTTGTGGTTTCCTACATCCCTGGACTACTACTAAGTGCTGCCATTTTTAAATTAGATAACTGTGTAATATAGTGTGTGATTTTGGAAAACCCGCTTAGCAGGAAACAGGGTAACAAAAGCAGCAAATCAGCTGTATCATAGGTATTGATTTTGGATTTAAAAACCTTGGCATTAACCCTGTAAGCTCACAATGGCAGACAATTATGTCAATGCAGGGTTCTGCAACAGAATATAGCCTGAAGAATAAAAGCTACCCTATTAGATGTAAATACTTTTGGGGTCAATACAGTCTTGTGACCAGACTTCTCTCAGATGTGCTTATGATGACTCCTTGATTTCACCATGATCTGCTTCATGGACACAAACGCAGAATCTTGGTCTCAAGTATTAGGAGTTCTTTTTTTATACTTTAATAATTTGTTTTTGTTTTGGGGGTTTCTTTTAGGAGCAAAATTTATTGGAACCTACCCCATCCCGGACACATACAACCCAGACGATGACAAAATCTATTTCTTTTTCCGAGAAATATCTCAAGATAGCAGCACATCTGACAAAGCGATCCTTTCCCGAGTTGGAAGAATTTGTAAGGTGAGAAATGCACATTCTTTTTTTCCCTCTTTTTTTTTTTTAAAAAAGGAAACTTTAATTTGTTTCTTTAAGAAATCTCAATTTTGTCCAGGAAGGAAATAACCTCACCCATAGTACCGTCTAAGTAATGTGCAATAACATGGATTACTAATGATGTCTAAAATTCACTTGCCTTAGCTGTAAAATAGGCTTTATACTTAGTAAATCAGCATATTTTTTGGAAACATAATATTTTCATCATCGATAATGATGTATCTAAATAGTGATTGATTAATCTTCAGCTACTCTATGGTGAGAGCCTTTGTTTTGCTGTCTCGGTTAAGGCTAAATCCTAAGCATCTGTGCAAAGTCAGAGTACACGAGCCTTTTGTATGGGGTATGCACTGGCTTAAGGGGAAAATAGAATCCCAGCTGAGGTGGGGAGCATCAGTGTATCACCCCCACAAGTATTACTAACAATGTCTTTTTTGTTCTGTGTTTGCACCACACCTAGCCTATGATTAGGGCCCCTAGGTGCTACAATAATAGAAATAATAAATAATAGTAATAACGACCCATACACTACTTTAGCTGATGTGTTCTTTGTACCCAGCCGGCATCTCCTTTCCCCAGCCATTACTGTAATCCATAACACTGTAGCGATAGATGTTCTTACTGCAGATTCCCTGTGCTCCAAATGCAGTATTTTTGTGATCAGTTCCACGGATTTATGAAACTTTGGTAATGATTAAAAAAGCTGGGCTTTTTCAAAAAAGTATGGACCAGATCATTAGAGATTGTGTTTTTGATTAAGTTTCCATGGAGTGGCCAAAGTCATGTTGGAAACATGAGGAACTCCAATGTCACATTGGCACTGTTTAGTTTCTTCATCATGTTTTGGAATAGTCTCAATGTCTGTATGTTATTACACTTTGAAAACATTATGCTTTGATTATGAGACGGCCCATGTCTCAGCAAAATCCCTGTATGTAGTAATCTCAGAGGTAAATCTGCTGCATTTCTATGGTATCGTTGTACAGCTTTCTTCATTTGCTGGTATTCTGTAGCGTGTTGCCTGATGCATTAGTTAGCATTACTGACAGTGGGCGTTAGGTTCCTAAGAAAGACCCTTGAGGAAAAAAGCAATTAACTGCAAGACTTCTTGATTCAGAAAGAGAAATGAAGAGGAAAAAATGAGCTAGAAAGACATGCACGCACAGGAGAACAAAGAACTGGACACACACACCTGTGTGGATGCCTACCCAGGACTGATCTTCTATCCACGAAGAGTCACAATTGAGACTTCAGCGACCACTGGGTCTACAAATTTTCAGTATTGGGTTGACAAATGTTTGCAACAAACTGAGCAACCAATTCTCTGTAGCAGTTCGTGTTTAGCCAAACAAGAGAATGGGCAAGCTTCGACTGGGTTTTTCACAGCAGTATAATTAATGAAACACTGACAAGGCAAACAAATATAATTTACTACTAGATGTGGCTTTTGCTGATTATGGAAGTACTTAATGCATTAGGGGGGAAATGGTTAGGTGGAATCTGCAACGCCAAGGCACAGAGAGATTATATTAAACTAAGATGCATTAATAGTAGACGTCCAGCTTCTACTGAGAAAAAGGACAGATAAGATATCATAATAAAAGCAAATGTACTGTAAAGAGACCCTAATGACCAGGCATAATTGAGTCTCAAATGAGATCAAGTTTCTAGGCTAGTGGTGTTATAGGAAATAATGTCTTGAGCTTTATGTTTTCGTTTTGCCAGTCAAATGAACATTATAGGAGAACTTCGAAATAGCTAGTTCCATTTTATTATATACATGTGTAACTCCCAACATTGGGAGCTATGAACACGTATAGTAATGTGTATATACACCAAAATAGAGATGGTTGCTCGACGTACGGGACCAGATATTCCAAAATGCTCAGCAGCCACAGTTGGTGTCCAATTCTCAAAACAGCGTAGCCTCCAGCAGCTCCTGTTAAACACACAGAGTGGGAGCTAACGGGTGAGGAACATTTTGAAAAATCTGGCTGCTTCATGTAGGGACCTACATGGGAAGTGCTGGGTGCAGAACTCTCTTGAAGAATCTGTTTTGCACTGTTTGTGCATGCGTCTTGATTATACTTATTGTAGTATAAATATAGTCCAAATGGGTAAAGCATAAACTCCCGACATCTGGTTCAATTGTGTCTTCTCGGGATGCCTTGACCTGCAGTGCCAAATCTGGTCGGCTTAATTCTCTATGCCTGCAGACACAGGTGTCCGTATCTATGGTTAAAACCAACAATGAGTAATTTAGTGTGGTTGAAAGTTCTACTTGCCCTGCAGCATTACTTGATAATAAGCTTCAACTAATCTAGACAATTTTCCTTAAATTTGAGCTTGTGTCTTCCTTCCACTACGTCCACAGCAACACAACATACTGCTATATGTCAGGAGACCATGAACTATTTAAATGATCTGCTTGTAATGGTGTGTATAATTCCAATTCCTTCGACTGGAGCTTCACCACTCTGCCTCACTGTTCCCTAAGGCTCTTCCTACACTTTGGTGTTAGAGGTACATGCTGAAATTAGAATAGGCAGTAAAAACACAAAAAGACTTGTGTGTTTAATATAACAGGTTAGTCAGTAGAGTCTACTCTTTAGCTAGTATTCATTGGTTGAACAATATAGTCTCACACTGATCCTCTCCCTTAGGGAAGTCTTCTCTGGAGAGCATTCCTCTTTCCCAGCTATTTCTAGACCTAAAAGATTACAATATCTCACTTGAAGTTCTTTGCCCAGAGTCAAACAGCTGTCACTTGCCCTGTTCAGAAGACTGTTCCTATATTTACTATCTTAAAGCATGCTTTGCAATAACACTGCCACCAAAGCATTAAAAAGCGCTCATTTAGGTTTACGTCACTTGCCTTCTGTATATCACTGGGGGATATAATTATAAACTGGGAGGAAGTGCTTTCAACAGTCACTTACAGACTAAAATGTATAATTTATCATGACAAATGGCATTTCCTATTTTTGGTTTTAACACACACACACACACAAAAAAAAAGGTATCATCAGCTTATCTGCAGTACCTGGAATTTTTTGTTCTGCTTAGGGAAAACAGAATGTTCCCACTAATATCAAGTGTAACATGGCTAATTTGCTTTCATTCAAGGTAGGATTATTTGTGAAAAGCAAAAATCAGACTTAAAGATTAATCCTATCTAGATTTTTATGTATATGTTTTTAAAAAATATAGAAAATGTATTACACTTTGTAGGAACCTTTTTTCCATTAATGTCACAAGACCATATCCTCAGCCAGTGTAAATTATTGTAGCTCCATTGACCTCAAGTCAATTTGCACCATTTACATTAGCTAATGGCATGGTACATATATTAGATATTCAGGGTCAGATTTTGAAAACTATTGTGGTTTCTGTAAACTGTCACCTTTGCACCCAAATGATAAACTTTAGTCACACATGCACACAAAGCCTTTGCATGTATATCAATTGTAAATTGATGGCAAGCGGATTTTGTTCATGGAAATGTCATCATTTGTATGCAAAGCTGCACATATAGAAACACATTGAACCATATAGAAACCTGCCAAAAGCACCTTAGAAAAATAAATCCAAACTTACAACAGTCCACTAGGAAGGTAAGAATTTCTTTTGAGATAGTTTTTTTTTTCAGTTTCAGTACATTTTCACAAAGTTACGTGCCCGCTTCAGTATATTGTAATGTAATGGACGTTGTCCAAGATCATTAAGGCTCAGTGTTAAAGTAAAAAAGTCATGATGTCATTCCTTGAAATCCATCCTACGGTACATAAGGAACTAGCTGAAGCAATCTCAGAAACGGTTATCTTTGAGAACTCCTGGAGGACGGGTGAGATCCCAGAAGACTGGAGAAGGACAAGCATAGTACCAGTCTTTAAAAAGGGAAACAAAGAGGACCCAGGGAATTAGAGACTGGTCAGCCTAACTTCAGTACCTGGAAAGATACTGGAACAAATTATTATATAATCGATTTGTAAGCACTGAAGGATAACAAGATCATAAGGAATAGCCAACACGGATTTGTCAAGAAAAAATCATGCCAAACCAACCTAATTTCCTTCTTTGATAGAGTCACTGGCCTAGTGGACAGGGGAAAAGCAGTAGATGTGATATATCTTGATTTTTAGTAAGACTTCTGACACCGTCCCCCATGACATTCTCATAAGTAAACTAGGGAAATGTAGTCTAAATTAAATTATTATAAGGTGGATGTGACCAAAAGCACCCCGTATTCATACCATACACACCATTGTAGTAATCTTTATACAAAATATGCCTTGTAAGATATAATTTGAAAATGAATAACTTGCTGGTCAGTTGTATCATGGTGAAATGTATGCAGCAGCATTATATGTAAAGATGTGAATTCCCCCTGTGTGATGTTATTAGCACAGGTTCAAAACCAGACAGTCCTGCCTCCGCAAAAGTTGTTAAACAGGTCTATCTAAACAAAGGAATGTGTGTTTTTGTCAATTTACATATATGTAATAAACAGGGTCCTCAAAACAGCAAGGGGAGGAGATGGTAGGAAACAGAACAATTTGCATGTTAACAAACATAAGTGGGGGAAGAAAGAGCATGCAGCTTCCTTCACCACCAGACACCATGTTGCCCTCTTCTCTGTTTGGATAAATTAATGGAGATATCCTATCTCCTAGAACTGGAAGGGACCTTGAAAGGTCATTGAGTCCAGCCCCCTGCCTTCACTAGGCAGGACCAAGTACTGATTTTGCCCTAGATCCCTAAGTGGCCTTCTCAAGGATTGAGCTCACAACCCTGGGTTTAGCAGGCCAATGCTCAAACCACTGAGCTATCCCTCCCCCCCTTCACTTCATAGACTTTGCTTTGAAGTGCAACCTTCAGAAGAATCCACTTCAAAGATTCACTGGACTATAAAAGAAAACTCCAGTTTCTTTCTTTTCACCTAAGAAGACAATGGCACCAGCACCTTT